CAGCTCACTGCAACCTCTGCCTCCTGGGTTCAAGTGATTCTCCTGCCTCAGCCTCCCAAGTAGCTGGGATTATAGGCGTGTGCCACCAGGCCCAGCTAATTTTTGTATTTTTAGTAGAGACGGGGTTTCACCATGTTGGTCAGGCTGGTCTCGAACTCCTGACCTTGTGATCCGCCTGCCTTGGCCTCCCAAAGTGCTAGGATTACATGAGCCAGTTGAGCCATGTGCCCAACTGAGGTTCTGAATTTGGTCAGGCCTCTTAACTTTCTGAAAAAGCAGCTGTTTGAGTTTTGCTTTTTTTTTTTTCCTTTTTCAGTGGTGGATCACAGCTCACTGCAACCTCTGCCTCCCAGGCTCAAGTGATCCTCCCACCTCAGCATCACAAGTAGTTGGGACTACAGACTCACGCTACCATGCCTAACTAATTTTTGTATTTTCTGTAGAAATGGGGTTTTGCCATGTTGCCCAGGCTGGTCTTGAACTCCTGGGCTCAAGTGATCCGCCTGCCTTGGCCTCCCAAAATGCTGGGATTACAGGTGTGAGTCACTGTGCCTGGCCTGGTTTTGCTTCTTTTTAAAAAATAAAAATAAAAAGAGAGTAATGATTAAATAGCTTTGTGACTCCAATTCAGCCAGAACTGCGTTCAAATCCCAGCTCTGCTGTTTATTGGCTTTATTCGTAACTCTGGGCAAGATGCAGTTTCTGAGCCTCACTGTGCCCCTCTTTAGAATGGGTGCTGTGAGACTCAAACACCATGAGGCACATAAACTGCCCAGGACACTTTTGGACACTTGGTACCAGCCATCACCACCACCATCGCCATGGCCAGAGGATTTCAAGCACTCAGCAAATGGTGCTGGCCAGGCCTGTCCAGGATTTCCTAACCATCTGTGACAGAAGGCAGACAAAAGACACTGTGGAAAGGCGGCTGAGCTTCTGGAGAGAAAAGACCATCCCTTTGTGCATGAAGTTTGAAGAACCATCAACTCTGGAGTCTGGGACTCGTCCTTCTTCACGAAAGGTTTATGAAGCCGACAGAGGCCAGGGCTTCTGAGAATTTCCAACCTCGATATTTTCACTTGATGGTTTTTCAGGAAGTCAGCATGAACACTGTTAATGTTTTCTCATTAAGCTACTTTTTGTTTTCTTTCAATAGCTGACATTCACAGCCTGGGTGCATTCTTCCATGACGTCACTACTCTGACAGCTCAACACATTTGCGATGGGAACTCATTTCTGTTTTGATGAGGGAGACCGGAGTTTCCCTCTCTGAGGGAAAAGGGGTTTCACATACCAGAAATACCCTTTGTGGCTACTTCTGTCAGCTCCTGTCCTCACAGGTGAGAAAAGTAAGGCTCACTGCACAGGTCCTCCCAGCTAGGGGAGCTCACGTCCTGGGCCTTCTGAAATGACAGTAAAGCGGGGGCTCCGATCCCAGCTGCTATGCCACATGGTGCCTGCTGGTGGTGGCGCTTACACGCAGACCCAGGCTCACCGCAGATCTCTGGAGGAAGCTGTGCAGCCCTTTGTGTGAACAGAAGCAAGGTAGCTTCCTGAATTCCACCCTTTACACAGGGCCAGGGCCTGCCTGGGCGAGAGACGACAGGGCTCAGTAATTCCAAGAGTGGACATGTGCGAGATGTGTCTCCAAGAATGTTCTTCCCTGCATGGTCCTGGCAGGGGACATTCGAAACAACCTGAACGTCCAGCAATAGGTGACAACAGATTGCATCACTCGGATGTGCTGGTGTCAAAGGGTATGCTAGGATATTTAATCCCAGGGGAAGTGTTTACAACTCAGTTGGCGGAAAGGAGGTTACAATTCAAATGACTTTTTTGTTTTTTTGATACATACATCCTTTTCTTTTTTCTTTTTCCAGACAGTCTCACTCTGTTGCCCAGGTTGGAGTATAGTGGTGTGATCTTGGCTCACTGCAACCTCCGCCTCCTGGGTTCAAGCGATCCTTCCACCTCAGCCTCCGTAGCAGCTGGGACTACAAGCATGCGCCACCACACCCGGCTAATTTTTGTATTTTTAGTAGAGATGGGGTTTCACCATGTTGCCCAGGCTGGTCTTGAACTCCTGATCTCAGGTGATCCACCTACCTCGGCCTCCCAAAGTGCCGGGATTACAGGAGTGAGCCACCGCACCCAGCTGAATGTCATTTTTACAAGATGAAAAGAGTTTTGGAGATGGATAGCGGTGATCCACACAGATTTATGCATGTATTAATTCCTCTGAACTGTACATTTAGAAATGGTTAGGATGGTACATTTTATGTTGTTTATGTTTAAACACAATAAAACAACTGGAAAAAAGGATCTATTAATGCTTATTTAAAATTCAGACACAATTTACTTTAGAATTTAATAGAAATTACTCTGAAAAAAGGCACCTTAATTTTAAGGGAACAGCTTAATGAGTTTTGATAAATGTCATTGCCTGTGTATTCACTACCACAATAAAGATTGCATCTTCTATTTACCCTTTTCTTCTCCTTCTTCTCCTTCTCCTTTTCCTCCTCCTCCTCCTCCTCCTTCTCCTTCTGTTTTTTTTTTTTTTTTTTTTTGGAGACAGAGTCTCCCTCTGTTGCCAGGCTGCAGTGCAGTGGCCCAATCTTGGCTCACTGCAACCTCCGCCTCCCGGGTTCAAGCAATTCTCCTGCATCGGCCTCCCAAAGTGCTGGGATTACAGGAATGAGCCACGGCGCCCAGCCTTCTATTTACTCTTTTCTAATGGATCTCCATCCAGCTTTTTGTCACTATATATATTTTTCTAGAGTTGCCATTAAATGTTAGAATAAGTAATAAATGTAACCAAGATCACCAGAGAGCAGCATTTACATCAGTAACAATAGCTACCCTTCTGTTATGTGCTTTACATGTGCCAGGCCTGTCTCTATCTTACAAATATTGGTCACTTGATAGCTGGCGATGTCTTTTCTAATGCTCACATTAACCCTGTAAATTAGCTTTCCTTTTGTTGTTTTACAAATGAGGAAATGGAATCTCAAAGAGGTCTTCCTTCTTCTACTCTGTCATAGTCTCTGCCAATTTCTGGGCTAGCTGGGTGGCCTCATTTCAGAATAACGATGCGTATAGGGGAAAAAAATGGGTGTTGGTGAATCAGAAAGTCTTGGGGGAAATAATGCATGTTCTAGCAGGTTCTAGCAAAAATACTGGGCTGAGATTCAGGAGTCCCTGGGTCTCAGCCTCCACTTGGCCAGGATCCAGCTGTGGGGCGTGGCCTCGATCACCTCAGTGTTCACAGCTCTCTCAGTCCCACGCTACCCTGCAGTTCTTGTTTTCTAATAAAGACTTTTACCACCCCCAGAAGTTTCTCAAATTACAAAATAATTTTCAATCACAAGGTGGGGGCAGGGGGTTTGGGAGGGGCTCCAGGGAGTGCTTATGTAGATGAACGCACATTTGACAGCGAAACGTACATTTCTCACTGCAAAATGAAAGGAAAACTATGATTTTCATAATGCAAAAATTGGAGGTGAAGCCGAACAAGATGTTCTTAGACATTGGGACATGGGTTTAGAAATGGTGCAAATGACTCATTTGCCATAATCAGGAAGAAGGAAGCTCTACACCCTCAGATGGAAGAAGGAAGACCCCAGAAAAAAGGATTTACAGTTCTACAGGGCAATTAAAAAACAAAAACAAAAAAACAGCTCACATCAAATCCAGAACAAAGCCACCAAGCCAAGCCCTTCTGGACACCTGGGCTGGAGACCCCCGTGCCCCTGCATGGGTGAGCAGGATGTCAGGGGTGCCTTGATCCTACCTGCTCCCCATTGCTCATGCCACTTAATGAATGAAACCCCACCTGGGCGATTCAGCCGGCTTAGCCACCTGGGGCAAATCAAACGCAACCTGAAAAGCAAAGCCAGCCCAATTCAGCACACTGGTGGCTTCAGAGGTTCCGGTGTGCACAGAGCTGCGTGGGAGGAGGACCTCAGCCCTTGCCACACCTCTGCTCTTGCCTGGAGAGCCCCCTGCTGGCCAGCGCTGCCTTGTCCTCTGCGGGCTTGGCTCCCTCCAACCACACACACCAGGGAGCCCAGCAAACATCCAGGGTTGTGTGCCTGGCCCACCTGGGGCAAACCCTCAAGACTCGGCAGTCCATCCCTGTGACCCTCAGCTTCCTCACACGAGCAGGATCCATCCCCTAAGCGCTCAGAGCATGGCTGTGCCTGTGAGATGGCTGGTACACAGCTGACCTCCAGGCCTGCCATCACCACCTTCGTGAGCACTACATCCCAGGCCCTCTCTGTCTCCTCTTCCTTGTAACCCTCAAGACAAGCCTGAGAGCAAGCTGAGAGGACAGTCAGTCAGTGGTCCACGACCTACCCAGGGAGTGGCTGGGTGTGATCCACACTATAGTGGGTCTGACCCCAGAGCCCCTGTCCCGGGATAAGACGCAGCACAGCCTGGATTTACAAGCCCCACTGTTTGGGTTCAAATTCCAACTTCACCACTAACAGGGTGTGCGACCTTGGGTCACTCAGCCACTTTTCTGGGGCCCCCATTTCCCTCCTGCTCCATGGGGGAGGGAGGAATAGAAGACCATGGGGGGTTCTTGTAGAGATTTGAGCTGAAAACATCCATGGAGCGCTCAGAACAGGGGCTGGGGGACAGTAGCCGCCTTCCTTATTTCCCCAAGCTCCCTGATCGCATCAGCCACTCTCTTCCTCATGTCCCTGGAAGGGGCTGCAGAGGGGTAGGTGTGGAACCAGAGGCTGCCATCGCCCCCACCCGGTTTGGGTCGTGTCCCCCAGTGCAGCCTCTGCCATCGCCCTCAAGAGCATTTATCACGCATTTACCACGGATCTTTAAAACGAAAGCTGCAGGGGAGGGTAATTAAGTTTAATAGGAGCCGCCGTCGATTTAAAGCCACAGGGGGGAAGTAATTAGATTTAACAGAAGCCACGGCTTTCTGAACCAAGACACACAGCGTGGGGGTCCCTGGTCTAGAAAGCCTTCGGGATGATGTCTTTTTGTAAAGACTTTCCTGGTGACATTTGCTGCGCCCTCAGTCATTAACGCCAGTCACTGACTGGGGGATGAATGTGGCCTCTGCTCATTGAAATTCATTAGGCCTGGCATTTCTCTCGCTGTCTCTCCCGTTTGCCCTCCCCATCGCCTTTGCGCTGGGCCAGGAGGGCTCTGCCCCAAAACCAGCCTCCTGGGGCCCCACATCTAGGAGCTGGGGGTTTGGAAGAATAATAAGAAATAATTAGAGTTAAGCCAAAACCCCCTAGGAGGACCCCTTTATTCCCCGCCAGGGTATTCTCTGGATGTCCTTTTCTTTATTTACAGGAACCACTTCATGGAGCGGCCCCTATTTCTTTCCTCACCTGGCACCTGCCCGGAAGCCAGGGGCGCCCATCACCGTTCCTTGGCCCCTTCCCGACCCCTCCCCACCAGGTAAGGCGCTCTCGACCTCCCCGACCGTGCTGTTCCCCCTGACCCCGTGCGCAGAGACTCGGGGACTGAAGGACCAGACCCCCGACACAAGACAGCTCAAAAACCGGGAAACGGAGGCCCAGGCCTCCCTCCCTGCGCCTCTGCCTCCACCACCCTCCAGCTGAGAAGCTGGGGTTCACCAATCCCGCAGCTGGCCCGCCCCCCCTGCCCTAGAGCCTTCTTCCCAGTGCCCCCTTTCAG